AACAAGAAGAAGAAAAAAGGAAAAGAAAAAGAAGAAGAAAAAAAAACAAGAAGAAGAAAAAAGAAGAAGAAGAAGAAGAAGAAGAAGAGGAGGAAGAAGAAGAGGAAGATGCGAGGAGGGGGGAGTTCTTGACTATTGTTCAGTTTTACTGGTTTACAACTTTCTAAATGACATGGCACATTTCCCCACGCAAACTCCGAGTTTCTTTGTTCATAGTTTCTTATGTTCATGTTTTTAAGTGGCAGTTGTGTGAAAACACAGACAGAGATGGCTTTGACCGACTGGCTACAATCAAAATGGCCATATTTTTGTGTTATACATCCATACAATTGCTTCGAAGCGGGGGGGGGCATGATAACATGTCTCAAATGAGAAAGAGAGCAGGCAAGCCTCCTCCCCACCTGACATATCCGTCTTCGCAGTAGTTGTCTGTGTTGTGCTGACTGTACCCCATGTTCTGGGTGGGGTTAGTGTACCCTGTGCAGTTCACTTTCTCCCCAGTTGTGTAGTTATTTGCTGAAAAGAAGAAGACACACTTCAAAAATATGCAGCAAATAATGCAAATAAAATATAATTTTAGAAATTCTACATTCTACAACCAAACACAATCTGGAGTGTCTCAAAGCTACTTGAAAAAAAATAGTGATGAAATGTTTGAAAATCAATCTGCTATGTGAATGTATGTGATGTGTATGTTTGTGGGTGTGGGTGTGCTTGTCCATTACCGTCAGTACTCCCAATCAGATCAGGTAAGCCTAATCAGGTGAGCGAGTTCGCAATAGATTTTTAAAACTAGTACATGTATTTGTTTCATTTGTATCACGCATTTGGCGTATACAAATACTTAATATTAAAAACCTACACGCCCCCATCAACCAAGTGAACTATAGCTCCCCAAACAAAAGACAAGACTAAACTACTAAACAACAAAAACATCCCCCGCCCCTAAATCAATTGGTGGCGTGGGGAGACGGTTTGAATTACTATTTTGATGGCTCGCTTCCCGTTTCCCACATAACCTCTCGAAAGTTCCGATCAGGGATTCAGCCCTCTGACAACCCAGAGGTTACTCCTTCTTGGTGCACTTTGTATTAGATCTATTTTTGATCGATCTACCCAAAAAATTTTCTGAGTTCACCATTTCAGGTGTCATTACAAATTTTAGAGCATTTCTATCAAAAGTTTGAGGGAAAAAACGTTTTTTTTCTCAGTCGAAGGTTTTGTCATGATCACATTTCGTCTAAAGTCAACCCAAATAGAGAAAAAAAGTTTTGAATTTCAAGTTTTATGCATTTTGTCAGAATTATTTAAATGAGCACTGTAACTTTAAAACTGTCACCAAACTGCCATCAGTAAAAACCATTTAAGTTTTCGAAAAAACTCCAAAGCTTATAAGCAATCTTATCAGTAACGCAATTAATTTTAAAATCAACTGCTGATTAAAGTTTGCAGCTTTCATTCATTTCAAAAAGACAGTTGATACCATTCGCCATGAATTTCTATTGAAACAAATTATGGCTTTCACCGTGAAATAAATGCATTATTAAGTTCATAGCTTTGCAATCGAAAATAGTTTGAGATAGACCTTTCATTTGAGGTGTCCCCACATAAATGCCGTCCACTGATGGTGCAGATTAAAAGATTACTCTTAACGATGCAATTTGGGACTGATAAAAAATGTGATTTTTCAATGGGAGCTGACAGGATGGGTTGAAAAAGACAATTCAATTATTTTGCCACATGTAGTAATGAGTAACCTAAATACACTTTAAAGATTGACTAGATTTGCAAAGGATTGGCTCAATTCAATGAAATACATTTTCAGGCAAGATACTTTTTCTCAACAAATTCATCACTTTTGTGTCATAATGCGTGCCTTTTAAGGTTTATCGAGCAGTAATAATATGAAAAAATTAAATATAATAAAACAAATTGGAATTTTTTTTTTCTAAAATTTGAAATTTTTAAAGAAAATCATCGCCCCACACGCCATATAAAGTACAAACGAATAATTTCGCTCCTTGTAACAAAACAATTATGGATCTACTTAACAATTGCCCACCCACCTTTTAAGAAAGGGGGGCAAGCAATTGTTAAGTAGATTAAAATAACGCATTTTCGACAAATCAGAATGCAGCAAAATTCCAATTCTCAATAGAAAGCTTAGTGCTAATTTACTGCTTTTATTCATAGGGGTGGTAATTCTTAAGTAGATACCTGGCTTTTTTTCCTTTTTCCCCCACCTGCAAAATTTTTACAGTAATTTTTCTGTTCACATTCTCGGATTGTTATCAAATTGGGCATACGGACTATTTAGGCCCTGAGAAACATATTTAGTCTTCATAATCAACCTTGTAAAACCACTCGTTACACCATGAAGTCTATACCTATGTAAGGTGAAGGGGAAAAGGGAAAAAGAGCCAGATACCTAAGGGGGGGCAATTGCTAAGTAGATTCACAATTATGGCAAAAAAGCTTCCTTCAGCCAATTTGGAATGATTTCTATGACGGATTAAATCTCCACTTACGCGTTAATAGCTCGAAATATATCGCGCGTAAATTGTCCCAAATTGGACAAAATGCTAGTCTTTAGACCCCCATAACTTTTTGAAAAATGATCACAGGTGAAATATCTTTTCAAATTTAAGCTCAGGACAACATTACCTTTTGAATGATATAAAAAAATTCCGTCAAAAATGGCTAGTTAAAAAGTCGAAACTTGTCTGAAGAAAAAAAAAACCCACCCGAGCACAAATATTCCGTTACTTTTGTATCGTTAAGTTATGGGGGTTTAAAGATTGCCATTTTGGCCAGCCACTATCTGACCTTTACCACGCGATACATTTCGCGCTATTCACGCGTAAGCGGAGATTTAATCCGTCTAAGAAATCGTTCCAAATTGGTTGAAGGAAGCTTGTTTGCCATACTTGAACTGTTACTAGAAGCGAAGTGTATCATCTTGTATTTTGTATGGCGTGTGGGGGGATGATTTTCAGATTTTCATTTATAAAATCTCAAGTTTTTTTACAAAATTTTTTTCATTTTATTTTCTTTTTTTTTTAACATTTTTTATATTTTTTGAAGTAATTACTGCTTCATAGACCTTAAAAGGCAGTCGGAACATTGAGGGCTTTGCCCTGATACGAACCGTCTTGTTTCATATCGAGTAACTGTTGCTATCTTCGCCTTTTTGTGGGTGTGTGGTATGGGGGCGGGGGTATAATTATAAGATTGAATTTCAAGTTGGAGCCTTAAGCCAATCAGAATGGATATTTCAGATGCAGGGACAAGCTAATTGAAATGTGGAAGATAATAAAATGGTTGCTTTTTTGAGAGACCTGATCTAAGAATTGAACTGCAGTATGAAGCAATCATGAAATGATGACATTACATGGGTGCACAGGTAATGATTAAATACACTGACACAATGGGTGCAGCAAACGCATCAGAAGTTGCGTCGGCGTTGATTTTTTTCAAGATTTAATAATCACGAGACAAAATGATTCAAAATTTCTAATTTAGCAGTTAAACTGCCTTGCCTAAATTAATGCAGGCTTGCAGTGGTGGTTTTTCAGAGCGTTCGCTTCTTCTCAGGAATTGGACCCTTTCACTACGCAAAGGCTCCTAATTCACTCACTTTGGATCATCAGTTGTTGAATGCCAATTCTAAAATTTTTTCATTGCCAATATTCATATAGGGTTGGTAAAAACTTTTTTTTATAATATTTTTTGGTCAATTTCTTTTATGTTTTTCAGAAATCCTTTTCCTAGTTTTGTAAAAAAACAGGATACGCCCGAGCAGTGCCATCCGAAGAAGAGGCAAAAGTTGTTGTCAGTCTTTTAGCCGACATTTACATTTAGTTATTCGATGTTAGACTGATATTGAGTGATACCATACCTGCTGTGTCCAGCAAATCAAGAACGACTATAAAATATAAAACTAAAATAGTTTCACAGCCTAAAATGAATTCAAGTAAACCACTTTCCACAAGACTCTATTGAGTTCGGATAAAGAAGCCGAAGTATAAACGAGCCGAAAACGAGCTTAGATAAGTTAGACAGCCAACATTATTCGATTATTGATTGAGTTAGCTTCATTTTCTCAATTGTTGCACAATTGCTACCTATAATTATTATGCAATCGGGCTGTATTTTTGACTGGTTTGTAAGATTTTTGGTTCATACTTCTATTAGTTCACATACATCGACTGAAAAAAGGAAACAAGAATTTTGAAGTTTGAAATAATATTCATTCTAATGGATTAAACACGGTTTTAAAATTTTGCAGCTTTTTCTGCATTACTCAATTTCTACGCAGTTTCTAACCCTGCTCACTCGTTTATTTTTTGCAACACGACATTCTTTACGTTTTAAACATCCCCCTCCTTACTTTCAAGCCGCATTAAACCCGCGCATATCCTTTTAACTTCCTCCAACATTTATTCCCTCCCTCTAACCTAAATAAGCGAAGGGGTTAGTGGGGGATGTTGTCGTGAAAACGGTTAAATATATGTTAATTGTACTTTGATTGGAAATCTGCAAAAAAAAGAGAAAAATGACAGAAACTAACATCAGGAATTATTTTGGCCTTCAAAATCAGCGCTTTCTTGGCCATCAGCGCTTTCTTAATTGCACAGGGTGTTTCAGATAGATGTAATATGTAATTAAGCTTTTAGTTTCACGATGAATCACCATATGAAAAAAACTTTTTTGAGAAAACCTGCCTAAGATATAGCCATTTCGTGCCAATGAGTCAAAGATTTAATTCAACAACATATTCACACGTTTTTTTTTGCGATTTAATGACTTTTTACTACATTTGTGCTGAACAAGATACTATAGTGCTGAATTGAAACAACCGGATGAAACGAAGTATAATTGAATTTTCCAACTCGTTTTTTCTCAATTTCAACAGTATTTGCCGAAAAACGACGAAGACAAAATCAGCTTACAGTTGTACTAGCTTTTTATGTGCAATTTTTTTGCAAGTTTTTGAACTAAAATTACACCCTTAGAAAAGAACAATTCAGTTTGTTCAAAATTGAGGACGATAGAAGATCATTTGATATAAAATTAACAACAACTTGGCCTGTGCACGCCTCAATTTTGAACAAATTGAATTGACCAGTTTCAAGAGCGTAATTCTGGTTCAAAAACTTGCAAAAAATTGCACCGTAAAAAGCTGGTAAGGTTTCAAGCAATATTTGTCCTCATTACTTTGTTTTCGGCCAAATACTGCTGAAATTGAGAAAAACGAGTTTGAAAATTCAGTTTTAATTCAATTCATCCGGTTGTCTCAATTCAGCACTATAGTATCTTGTTCAGCACAAATGCAGTAAAAGTCATTAAATCGCAAAAAAAAACGTGCGAACAAGTTGTTGAATTACATCTCTGACTCAATGGCACAAAATGGCTATATCTTGGGTAGTTTTTCCGAAAGTTTTGTGGGTGCTTTTTTGTAGGGTGATTCATCGTGAGTAGTAGATGTTGGAGGTTAAGTGGGGGGGGGGCATGGAAGACCCAATGTATTAAGATACGTTATAGACTTCGGGTCTTCCATGCTATGTATTAAGATTGGGTATAGAGTCTACAATGTAATAAGATAGGGAATACCGATGGTAAGGTTTCAGTGTGATGGTAAGATAAAGAAAAACGTAATTTTTTTGGTTTTTGTGTGGAAATGTTTATTTTTTTTTCGCAAAGTTTTTGGCGCGCGTTATCTAATTGGGAACAGTTAATAGTTAATTACGTGTAGAATAAAGGTTATGTATTTAGTTTTTTGGTGCATGGTATGTCAATGGTAAGAGTTTTTGGGTAAATTTTTATGAAAAAATTTTCAAAAAAACTTCAAAAAACGATAAGGTTAGCTATTATTTGACCTAATTTATTAAATAATCTTAATTTCTATCTAATTGAAACAATAATTTTACTTTCTATCTAATTGAAACAATGCCGAAACCTACAGAGACTTCAAAAAAAGGCAAGTTTCCGAGAAAAAAAATTAAATTACAAAGAAAGTTTATAAATCACTGCATCGTATAGTAAACTTACTGCCATAATTTACACTTACAAATGAAAAAACTACAAATTTACATAAAATTACTTATATAATTCAAAACATGCACATCATGAATATTATTGAAGTTTGTCTGGTAGAATTTAAAAAGAAGAAATGCTGAATAAATTGCGTAAAATCCACACAACTTATCAGTTTTTTGTAGCTTTCGAGGAACCATTCGCCGATACTTTTTTGTTAGAAAGGAATAAGTTGTTCTTTTCCAACCCAAAGAATCAGCAAAATAGTAAGTTTTATTCAATCGAGCCATCATGATCCAGTGCTCCCCTCTATCATTGCTTGGAGCTGAGTTAACAATTGCAAAAGAGTATTTTGTTAGTTGAGGTACTTTATCAGAGGGGTAAGATCCCATGTACTTGAACCTGAGTTCAGGAATTCTTTCAATAATTTGCAGAAGTGAAAAATTATCCATTTTTGCAAATGTTAGCTGATTTACATCTAAAACAAAGAAATAGAAAGTATGATATTGTAATTTAGGATGGAAAATCCTAAAGTTATTGACTTACTCGCATTTAGGTACTGAATCAACAAAATCCCATACACAAAACTTGTGAACTGGACAAAATTTGTTGAACACTGATTTACAGTCTAGGTTGAAGAAATGTCTTGGGTTTTCAATTAAACAGCATTCATTAGCTGCTTTTTCTGGAGATTTAGGTCTGAAGAAAAACAAAATATATAGTACAGAGACAATCACAATGAAAAGTCCCAAAAAAGCTACAATATTTTTATTGGAAACTGAAAACTCAAAAAAACTAAACATTTTTAGCGACTGTTCCGAATTTTTCAATTTGAACATTTGATAGTCTTTCTCCCAAGACTATCACTTCCGTTACTTGCTCCAAGGGAAACTGAAAAAACATTTCTAATCCCAAGCTTTCTCCACTAAGTTCTGGATAATGCAAGTGTTCAGCGGCATCCTGTAGTGAAGTCAAGTCGAAAACTAGAATATAGTGATTTTGAAAATCTTCCATAGGAAGAGCTGGAAAATCTTTGTTAAACTGCATTGCTTTCATTGTTGTAACATAGGGTCGACAAGGAGAAGTTGTATCTAATGAAATAATTGCTCTTCCACCCCGAATAATTCTAAGCTCTCTCAAATGAAATTGTTGATAATTGAAAGGATTTTCATGAAAAGATCCCGCAACAGCCGAATTTGTATTCATTGCAACAGCTATCCTTCTAATTGGGGCATTATTGAAAACATTTTCCTGAATAAACTGGTTTTGACGAGATGGAATGATAAAGGTTCTTGCTATAGTTTCCATGTAATTGTATTGAGCAGGTTCTCTTTCCAGATTCCATTGCAAGTATTGATGATTACGTTCAGCATTTGAAATTCTTCTAGTAAACAATGAACAATCAACTATTTTCAGACTGACATTTGGATTATCAGATAACATGTAAAAATTAGGTCTAGCTCGAATAAGTTTAATTCGAACTTTGGTGTTTGGTAGCAACAGTTTTTCGCAAGTAAACAAATCAATGGCGAGCCTTCCATAGAGTGAAAAAGTTATCCCTGTTCCCAAGGAATTTGCTCTATCAGTGAATGGATACATATCAAATGCATCAGGATTTTCTTCAAAACTGTATCCATGACAAGCAAGAATTCCTTTATTACTCACTGCTGACGAGTTGAATTCGTTCGATATCTGTGCCTTATGAGGATATAATCCATTGGCATTGTAAACCATTGTATTGTTGAAATAAACTTCACAGTTGGAGAATAGAGAATGTAGTAGATTGTTTACATAAGTTAAGTAAGTTTGTGGTTCCTCATCTGAATCTTCCTCCGATTTTGCTTTATGTTCTGCTTTTTCTTTTTTGAAAGCATCAAACAATCTTCCTTTAAATAGTTGAAGCTTTAAGCTAAGATGGGTATCACGCATATCCAAGTAGAGGTTACGATCCGTTTCAAATTCAAACTCAATACTGCTTTCATCCAGAGAAGTACTGGGGAATACTTCTTGCGTGTAAGATGACATAATTGTTTCCAAAACTGGGACTTTATCAAAAATCTCCAATGAAGAATTTGTAAAAGCCTCGTACCGAAAATGGTTTTGCTTTACACTCATTTTATATTGTCAAAAATGTCTTTGCGAGAGCGACTGTTTTTCGATCTGCCTTTTCGAGAAATGGATCTGGTTCTAGCTGTTTTACGCTTAGATTTCTTTTTTCCACCTCCCAATTGTTTCCGAACTGTTTTTGTTCCCACATCTTTTGCAAATGTTTTGAGTTTTTTACGTCCACTAACAACTTCCCCAATCTCTGGAGCAGCGATTTCAAACAAATCTGCCCCAATTCTTTTTGCAGCTGGGACTATATATTTTTTAATAAAGGGGATTGCAGTTCTCCCAAGAGTTTGCGCAAGAGCTCCAAAACCTCTTCCACGCTGTCTTGCATGTCCTCGAAAAATAGGGAAATCAGCTGATTTTTGAGCAACCATTTCGTATGAAGTTTAAATCAAAAATGATTATTCGAAATCTTGCGGAACAAGAGAACAACTCGAGTGATTCCTACGGACACAAAAGGAATTTTTTCGCCTGTACTATCTCTTAGTTCTATCTTGATACTATGGAAAGAATTTTTCAACAGCTTTTTAAACTGTAAATTTGTAAAGGGTTGATAATTCATGTACTGTCCTGTAGAAATTATATCTCCACTCTTCACTTTGGAGATAAATGGAATACAACGCAATAAGGGAGTTTTTGTATCACCAACTATGTTATATTCTATAATATCACTGTATATCATTAGGGAATGTATTCTTATAATGTCGTAAGAAAACTGAGGATAATGTGGACCTTTTCCTTTCATTATAACCCCTGTTTGAGTTTGTTCTAAATCAC